TTTTAATTTTAATTTTAATTTTTTAATTTTTAATTATTATTTTTAACACACACATGCTTACTATTTTATTTTTTATTTTATTTTGACATTATTTTCATTTTCTAACACACACAGAGAAAAGTTTAATGGCGGGGTTTCCTTCAAAATAAAATTGTGGCGTGTTTGATTGTTTCAAAATAAATCCACACAGGACATTTAACATGTGTTGTGACTCCCACTCAAACGTAGTCTTTATTTTACAGTACTTCTGTTGAAACCATTGAAAGCATACTCAACATTTCTAAACCTACATATTTTATTTTGAAAATGCTAACCGGAAATTATATTTCTCCGTGCGTCTGTTCAGTAAAAACAAAATGTGACGTGGCTAATCCTGGTGGACAAAAAGCAGCAGAAAACGTGACATGGTTAGACTGTTTACTGGGAAACAAAAAGGCGTTTAACGTGCGGAAAGAGAAGTGCAACCCGAAATAAAGAAGATAAATCTTGCTTGTTGCTTTGGGGAAGGAAAGTGTTGGCAGACCGGAAAGGTAACTGCTAGCATCAAGACTTTGACAGGAGGAACGGTGTTAGTTGTTTTTCCGACTAATTAATGCGCTTATAATGATCAAAACAGCTCATATTTAGAAACACTAACGCCCCTCCTGGCCATATTGTCAAATACATAAACGAGTCATTCGCTTACCTAAACTACCAGCTACCTTGTAAAGCATGAATAACAACGCAACTACTACTGCATCCATTGTAATTGCTAATGGAATATGTGACCTACAGATCTGAATGTAATTCATAATATAAATGAATGTTCCTGATGTGTGTGTGTGTTGTATTTGTTTCAGGTGTTTGTAGGCTACTTTCATGCACAGACATACAGTATGTGGATATGTTGTTTGTGTGAATGTGAGAGCTTTTGTTGCAGTCAGACTGGACTTTAAACTGACTGAACTGAACTGATAACCAATATAATAATACAACAGCTGAATAGTTGACTGCTGTTCCCTGGGTTATTGCAATGCACTGTGGGAAATGTACGATACCACTGACTGAAGGAAAGGCGATTTCACCAAAACAGTGAATTACAACATCCTGTAACTCCTGGAGTGAATGCATTTAATATAACGTTTGGATGAATGACCCCCTTAAACATCCCAGCAGGACACTTCTCCCTGTTTATTTAGTCATGTGTTACAAAACCCTTGTTACTGCAAGGTCTTAAAATGAATCTCCAATTAATCTGTCTTCTGTTCTCTACAACAAGCTCTGCAGGTTTGTTTTCATCCCTCAAAAAAAGCGAATTAAACTTACTTTTTTGTTCCCAGTTCGTCCTGTTAGCTGTTAGTTCGATGCTCTCACTACCAGAGACACACACTGTATGTATGCAGGAGTTCAGTTGGACACTTCTCTGGCTAATGGTCCTATCCTTTGTTGTAATTTCCCTTTGAAGGCATGTACTGAGACATTAAGATGTCAGACAGCGAAGGTGCAGCCGTGGAGGGTCCAGAGGTGGCACCAGAGAGTCAGGACGTCTCACCTGCCCAAACGCCTGACAGCCCCTCGGCGACCACGCCTGAGAACTCGACTGATGTGGCCCCAACGAGGAAAGCCAGGAGGAGACCGGACATCAAACCTGTGGCCGCGGTTGAGGAGATACCGAAAGTAGAGGAGCAGCCGGCAAAGGCACTGATGAGATAATGTTTTTTTTATACTAGACAAAACTACAAGTAATGGTAAAAAGAGAACTTAACTTCCGAGAGGATGCCTTGCCAATTGTTAGTTGAACTAGACAAACATTGGATAGCATTTTCTTTGGGTATTACCTGGCTGTGGGGCTTGTTCTAGCATAACAAGCTGCAATTTTTGTTTGTGTTTTAACACGAGTGATACGCCTCGACTCATATCAATTGAATTCTCCCACACCACACCAAAGGTCACGTCTTTTTGTGTACAAAAGTGATTGATTTTTTCTTTCCCTCCTCCTCCTGCTGTCCTTCTCTCTCAGACACCCACTGAGTCCACTGTGTCTCAGGGTGGTTGGGGATACTGGGGCAGCTGGGGCAAATCCATCTTATCCACAGCGACAGCTACTGTGGCCACTGTGGGTGAGTACAGACCACCTAACTAATCCAATCTTTCTGTTTTATATACACTGTGTACACTGGTCATTTTTAGTTATCTACTCGGAGAGCTGTCCTAAAAAGCTTCACCCAGTAAGTCACTGCTTGTCTCTCCTGTCCGTCCAGGCCAAGGGCTTACTCAGGTGATAGAGAAGGCGGAGACATCTCTGGGAATCCCCAGTCCGACTGATCTCTCAGCACAAGTTGAGGAAGAGCAGAAAGGGCAGGGTGAGGCATTACTGCGTGTTGTGTCAAGTGTAATTACTGGGTTAACTGGTCACCATGGATCTACCCTTCTTGTAGACAGATAAATGAATATGAGCCAATGTATCAAACATTTTGTTAACCTTGTTATAACAATATATATTTCTCTCTCTTCCTGCAGGTGAAGCCAGCAGTGAGACCGACAAAGCGGCAGGAGATGGACCGGCGGCGGTGGGAAGTGCGATGGGGATGCTGACGTCGCTCACCAGCGTGGTGCAGAGCACAGTAAGCAGAAATGTTCCCTGTGTTGTCTTTCTGTTCCTTGAAAGGAGGAAAGACATTTTTCTTAAGTGCATCTTAAACATCCACGTTTTCATGATAGAGAAGAAAAAATTATCTTGTGTGGATCATTGTTACTGGAAACAAGCAGCTCTTCTTTTTTCCAGTCCACTATTTTCTATTATTTCCAGTAATTCGCTTTTGAGTAATTAAAAAAAAAAAAAAAAAGTTCCAAGACAGTAAATATAATCATGACTCTCTGAAAACTGTCCAGTCTTGGTGAGAAATTAAAATGATCCTTTATGAATTGAGGATGTTTTCTGATTTGTTTGGGCCGTGTTTTTCAAACCTTTCAAACACTGGCAAAAAATCAGGCCATATTTCCAAAGTTGACATTTTCGAAACAAGTACTTTTCACTCAATATCATGCTAGACCATGACATTATTCCAGGTTGGATTTTTCAAATGCATCTTTATTTCCCCAGGTGCAGCTATTTTGCTAAAACATCATCCCTGTTCCATCTTCCTTACCAGAAGATAACGGCCCAAGTATAGTTCATAGAGTTTCAGTCAATCTATATTTACCAAATTTGAGGCAACAACTAAGCTAGCAACCAAAGCTTTTAAAAGTATACCACAGTCTTTAGCTTCCTAATAACTCATTAATTTACTCAATAGATATGTTATATTATGTATCAGTTATTTGCTAAGAGCAGGTGTTGTTACCCAGTTGTGGATATATTACACTGAAACTAAACTTTACTCATTTGCTGCCTCACAGGGGAAGACGGTAATAACAGGCGGTCTGGATGCTCTTGAGTTCATCGGGAAGAAGACGATGGATGTGATAGCAGAAGGTGACCCCGGTTTTAAGAAGACCAAAGGACTGATGATCAGGAACTCAACTCTGTCTCAGGTAGGCAGACCAGGGACAGAACAGAAACAAACTCAAGCTGACTTACACTAGTTTCACTCCTGATTGTCTGACTTTTAACTGTGCCCTCTTTCTCTCTTTCTGCCTCGTAGGTGTTGAGGGAGGCGAAGGAGCGAGAGGAGCTGCAGACAGCAGAGAAAGAGTCAGATTCAGAGAAGAAGGTGGTCGCTCACTACGGGATGCTGTTTGATGAATTTCAGGGTCTGTCACACCTCGAGGCACTGGAGATTCTGTCTCGAGAGAGCGAGTCTAAAGTAGGATGGGACTTTCATTCCAAAATATAACACCTAGTGTACATTTTTACACCTCATAATTCAATCGGTTAAAAGCATAAAATGTGACTGTTCTTTGTGTGTGTGTGTGTGTAGGTCAAGTCGGTGTTGACCACTCTATCAGGAGATGAGCTGACTCAGCTCAGAGAAGAGCTGGAGCTCATTAAGGACTCTTTCTCCCTGGTGGAGTTTGATGATGAGGAAGTGGACGAGAAGAAAGGTAATGTCCTTGTGAAAACGATTATAAAAATACCACTTCTGCAAGAGGAATGCAGCATCATGTGGACCAGAATTCAACAAACACCTGAAAAGATTGACTGTACATTTTAAATTCCAGATGAAGACGGCTCAGAGTTTGAGAGGGAGATAACGGAGGCCTTGGAGGGTCTCAGTGTCACTGCCACAGTTGACAAGCTCAGCAAGGTACCAGCTACAGGAATATGTGGCAGTATGATACAATCAAAAAATACAGCACCATAACAAATTTAGCCTGTAATCTGTTTCAGATTCCATCAGATTGTGCAGTTCCTGTTTTTATTGCGGTCGACTCGTGGTTCACAAACCTAAGCAGTGTAGTGTGAACAGGGTGGCATTTTGCTAATAGCATGATCTCTAACCTCCAACAGGCCTGTAAGAGCACCTGCAGCCAGATCACTGACATTGGCAAACCAGGGAACAGAGAGCAAGAGAGCGAGGAGGATGTAAAGAAAACACTTTCTGTAGAGGTATGCTGAATATTAACCACAATCAATATTTAACATTACAAAGGAGGAACTCATTTGAGGTTGGTATTAGACTAACTCTGTTCGGTATGTGCTAATTCTGTTTGAAAGAATGGTATTTCATGTCATCTTTGCGAAACAAAAAAGGTACAAAGTTATTTTTTAATTTACTGAGAGATTATACAACTATAGAAGCTACAGACACTGTTATGGTTGCTCTTCTTCTGTCATAAATCAGTGGGGTTTTTTCTTTGTACAACAAACCGATGGTGTTTTTGTAATATGTTTCATGTTTCAGTTCAAGCAGTTTCCTCTGTATGTGGTTTCTGGTCCATTCAGCAGAGTATGTGTGTGTGTGTGTTTGTATATTAAATGTTGTCAGGAGGTTCATGCTGCAGCCATCAGGAGTCTGGCGGAGCTCACGGCTCGATCCATCGAGCTTTTCCACAAACTGGCTGAGATGATCCTCTTCTCCAACGGCAGCACAGAGGCCAGCGTTCTGTCACAGTAAGACAACACAGACGGTCTGTTTGAACAGATGCTGCAGGAGATGCACTGCAGATTCACAGCTTCATCTGTGCTTTGACTGAATGTCCGTGTTTTTCTTGTTGTCTGTCCTCAGGTTAACTGTTGTCCTTTGTAAAGAAATCTCACTGCTTTCCAAGAGGTTCACCTCCTGTTTAACAACAGCAGGGGTAAGTGTAATAAAGAGTTTGAACATGTCTGCTTGTTTGTACCTCACGGGAAGTATTTTAGTGGTTGTAATTGAATCTAAACGTTCTTCTTTACAGTCAAACGAGAAGGGAGATGTCCTCAACCCACTGATAACAGGAGTGTTTTTAGAGGTTTGTGTCAAAGTTCTACAGCATTCTCATCAGATGTAGTTAAATTATCATTGCAGTTGTATCTCTATCAATTGTATTGCTTGTAAAGGGGATCTATTTCTCCTTTTAAATGCATAAACATCAAGTATCACATTTGTTGTGACTTTCCGCAATAATTTAAAGCAAAAAGGTGAAACCTCAGTTTATAATTTGTGGATATTTAGGTCATTTTTAAGTTGTTGTAGTAGTTGTAATATTAGAAATAAATTCAAAACTCTGCAAAAGGGTAGAACTGATTAAAAGAATGTATATGTATCTATGTAAGTATTTTCCTGATACAAGTGCAGCCGTCTACATTCTGCTGTCTTGTTTAAAGATTTTAACCCTTTTGTTTCTACAAAAGTCAACAAATAATAAGGAAATCTGCTGGGAACAAGTGAAATTACCTCACAAAAGGGTTTCCTCCTTGAAAAAGAAAAAATACTGTGTGCCTCATGTTGTCTTTTCTTTCAGGCGTCCAACAGCGCATCCTACATCCAGGATGCTTTCCAGCTGCTGATGCCCATACTGGAGATCTCCCACATCCAGAGGAGAGCAGAGTCTGCAGAGCAGTGAGCAGCTGGCATCACCTCTGCTCTCCACCGCTACCATGCCGCTGGGACTGTCTCAGCGGAGGACTGACACGTCTTTAAAACAAATTTGTAAAAATCGCCTGCGTCAGCTCTTATTCTGTCTGATTTTTAGCTCAGGACAAGTCAATTTCACGCCTGGAAGGAGATGTGTGTTTTTTTGTCAAACAGTGTTAACTTTTTCTGCATTGCTGGTTTAATCGTAAAGCCCAGTAGATGGACTCATTCAGGTAGTGCTGAGAAGGTCTGGATCTACCAGCTAAGGGGAACAAATGCATCTGTGTTAAACATAGAGCAACTTATTGTTCTTCCTTTTATTCTAACATGTACACTACTCTTTTTCTGACAGCACTTCCAGAATGGAAACACCAGTGGTAATTCGTTAAAAAAGTGTTTCATAATAAATACTAAGATGTATTGATAATGTATTTTTCTCTTGTAATACTTGAGAATTGTTTTTCTATGCATATCTCTTTAAAACTGCTGTGCAACATATCGCTGGTCCTGGAGCAGTTAGTGGCTAAAAGTGTCTTGACAATGACATGTATTAAACAGTGTTAGGATTTAAACATGTTATTCTCTGTAGCCACCGGGCCAGTGTTTGTATGGCAAACTGTGTTCTAGCTGACTCAAGAAGCCTCGAATCCCCAGCACGCAGATTATTGTTTCTGTAGTTTTTGGCAACCTTGGTATTGTCCTCAGATCATGAGCAGCACTGGAGATCTATAGTGTTCATTAGAGGGAAGAGGCTTTATTACCATGCTTGTATTTTGACTTTGGTGCTCTGTATACTCACTAATTTTACAAACAAATATCAGCTTTACATAAGTGTTTTCTGCCACCTTGCAAACACTTGGCATCCTCACATGTTTCAGCAGCTCTCCATATTCAGATAACGTTCTACTTTTTTCTCTATAGCCAGAATTGACTCCAGTTCCACTTGAATCAGAACACTACTTTCTTACTTAATACTTATTCGCACAAACATTCAAATGTCAAGTTTTGACCTGATAAAATATGCCTTTAAAAAGTTTGTGTCTGAAAATTCTAAGGACATAGCATTTTGCTGAAAAACTTGAAACACATTCTCAATTTGTTCATGAAGACTTGGAACTTGACTTGGATTAGCTCTCCAAAAAAAGAGTTTAAAAACAGCTCTGGTGAATCTGTAAACCCAAACAGCTCAGATCTGTATTTTAACATTTTTTACTTTTAGTTGAGTGAACTAAGTGATAAAGTATTGCTTTTTTTAAGCCGATGACACCACGTTATACCAAAAGTTACATTATCATCCCTAACAGCTTCCTCTTTACCCTCTATCCCTTAGAAGAGATGTTATCTCAAGAGAAATACCCTGTTTCATCCACAGCTCTGTTTTCTCTTTATTCCCCAGTTTGAGAAATATACAGATTGTACATTTAATTCAGCAAAAGCTTGTCCCCCTCTGTATTGTCACCTCTTTCATTACTCCAGAAACTCCAGGTGTTTATTAATCAACAGCTTCTATCTGCCATGAAGATAGTCCTCTTGTAGACAGTTACTTTGAGTTGAATTGCGTTCTCTGATATTGAACTGCTAACAGCTGCGTGTTGTGGGCATGTCAAGTGGTATTCTTTTAAGCAACATACTGTACTGTGTAACAGGTATTCGAGATGATTTTTAAATAAATGTGCTTTCATATAGGCCCAAGCTGTGATTTGTGTGTGCATGTTACAGATTTAGTCAACTTGTTTTAGTATGTGAATGACTTTGAAAATGATAACAAGGCTAAAATTCTCTATTTGATTTTGTATAAATTGGTTCCAATGATACCTGAAAGCATACAATGATATTTTAGAGTGTGGAAGGCCCTTTCCTGTTTCAACATGAAACGTCAACACCGACTGCGAGTCAGGCCTTATGACCCAGCATCAGTGTTGGACCTGATGCTCTCGTGGCTCCAGCCTGCTTCCAAAATGTGGTAGAAAGGCTGAAACCAGAAGAGTGGAGGCTGTGTGAGCAGCAGGTTAATGCCCGTGGTTACAGAATGACACACTGAGCAATCACATATGTTCATGTGGCTACATACTATACGTATATATTAATGTTCCTCCCCAACAAAAATTACATTTATTTATCATGTGTAGTGTTTTTTTTTTGTTTGTTTGTCAATTCACAGACCTTACTGAGGACAGTTTGCATTGGGAGAAAATAGTATTCTAATCCTCCAAGTAAAACCATAGTACAAATCTAGTTATTCATGTATTTTATGATTATATGCAAAAAAGTAATTTAAAAAGTAACACATTTAGTTCTCAAATAAACGTAGCGGAATAAAAATACAATTTTGCCTATAAAATGTGAAATAAAGTCAAAGTATTTGCAGTATGAAATGAAAATATTAAGTAAGTACAAGGACCTCAAGTACAGTACTTATAATACGTCAAAATCTCGAACAAATTGAATTAAAAGTACTGGTCTAGCCTTTATTAAGTGTTATTTAACGCCGTTACATCTCCAATACAGCAGGAGGCGCTGTGCACGTTTACCGCCTAACTGCGGTCCGCCAATATACACAAAGAAGGAGAAGCAGGAAAAAGGGAGAAAACGAAGAAGAAGAAGACAAGAGGCGCTATCAACTAGCTTGGCAGGTTACGTCGAGGAGATTGTGAGGTAAACCCAGTTTCTAACACTTTTATACTCCCCACGGTCACACGCCGCCATGTCTGCAGAGCGCGTGTGAGTCGCGGCGCACGGAGAAGCGAAAAAGCAGAGTGCTTTTCATTTAAGTCTTCGTTCGCTTTCTCGATAACGCGAGGATTAGCTCGCCAGCGTTAGCCTCGATGCTAAACACTACAGCTGCGACGTTACGTTAGTGAGAGTTGGTGGTGGGGGGGGAGATGGTGTTTTCAAACTTTTGCCGCTTTCTAAAGCTTTTAAGAAAAAACAAAACACTGTCAACTCTCTCCGCGGAGTGTTATTTCAGAGGCGCCTTCGTCATATTGCGCGGTGTTACTTCGCTCGTCAGCCCGATGTTAGCGTTACATAATTCATCCTGAAGCCATGGTAACACAGTCATAAGTGTGTGTGTGTGTGTGTGTGTGTGTGTGTGTGTGTGAGGAAACATGCTGCATTACGC